ACCCTTCTTACTTATCTCTCTTCCCTCATATTCAACCAAGGTGCTTTAATAAGCTGAAGTAGACTCCTTGGGGGAAACAAGTACATTTATATTACTTGGTGTCCCCACAGTACTTAAGAGTTCCCCATGTACATAGTAGGGATTAGCAAATTCTTCGTAATTTTAAGAAGTCTAACAGAAAATATTTCAGTATACACGTAAACCCTAAGAATTTCTATACTGTTTCTATCTTTTGAAAAATCATTCATGTCATCTCAATGGAATGGGCGATCTTGGGGCTTGCTTTCACCTCACAACTTTCGATAAACTGATAGGGGAGAGGCAAGAAGAAAAGGAAAAAGAGTGACTCAGCTGCCCAGAGAGAGCCACAGATATGGTCCTACAAATGTCATAGCGTCAGACTATCCAAAGATGTCTCATGGTCTTTTTAGGCACTGGGAAACATTTTTGGGACAGGCTTTGTCAGGCATCAGACTTAATAGTAGATTGGCCTTGCTCACTGGGAGGCACTCAAGCCTCCTTCATGGGAGATGCGCATTGCGGACATGATCTGCTTGCCCAAGAAACCAGCCAAAGCTATTGACAACTCACCTGATCTGTGAGTCCTGGGACCAGCTTCAGCGTTCAGGCAAATGCTTTGAACTTATACCAGGAAAGGCACAAAATTTCAAGTGAGGCCAAGTCATATGTTTGTTTCTCCTTCTGATTGGCCTGATAATCAACTGGGCATTTACCATCATGGGAAAAAAAGTATTCAGATTATATGACAAGTATCCAAGTAACCATGTTCTGATGGTAATGTGTATACATGGATGATGAATCTCTAGCATCTTATCTTTTTTTTTTTTTTTTTTTTTTTTTATTTTTTCCCCCCAAAGCCCCAGTAGATAGTTGTGTGTCATAGCTGCACATCCTTCTAGTTTCTGTACGTGGGACGCGGCCTCAGCATGGCTGGAGAAGCAGGGCGTCGGTGCGAGCCCGGGATCCGAACCCGGGTCGCCAGCAGTGGAGCGCGCTCACTTAACCACTAAGCCACGGGGCCGGCCCTAGCATCTTATCTTTGAACAAGCCCCACCCCCCACCCTCTTCTAGTGGTGGTGGGTGTGGTGGGTGGCTAATGATCTCTAGAGAAGAAAGAGACAAAGGCTGGGAAGGAAGATTTATTGGGATTGGCCTCCTAATAAAAAAGGAAATAGATACAGACTATCCCTCAGATCTCCAGGGAGTCTCAGCCTGCTCCTAAACAACAAGATAACTGAATGCTGCCTCCTCTGGGGCTCCCACAAGATCCTCCTTTCCACCTGCTCCTGGCGCCTCATTTTCTCCATTTGGAAGGCCGTCTCACTCTTCCCACCTACCGAAATCTTTGGAGATACTACTCTTCCTCAAGGTCATCTAGCTTCCCCTGGTCACAACTAATTGCTCTCTCCATGTGTTCCTAGTGCCCTCTGTACCTCTTTCAGACCAGATCCATTATATGTGATGATGCCTTGTATACAGATAACTGTGTGTCCTTAGCCCCATGGGGACACCCTGTGGAACAGAAAACACTTGCCTCTAGGGAGCTCCCAATCTAAGAGGCACAGATGCACACACATGTGTGCACACACACATACACCCACATAGAAAAACAATACCAGTGGGATAATAGGTACTGAAAATTTGGTGGAATACTATCAAGAAATTACTGGGAGGGCCAGCCCCATGGCTTAGCGGTTAAGTGCGCGCGCTCCGCTGCTGGTGGCCCGGGGTTCAGGTCCCGGGCGGGGACCCATGCACCGCTTGTCTGGCCATGCTGGGGCCGCGTCCCACATACAGCAACTAGAAGGATGTGTAGCTATGACATACAACTATCTACTGGGGCTTTGGGGGAAAAAAATAAAATAAATAAAAAAAATTAAAAAAAAATTACTGGGATTACTTTACATGTATAAAGTATATTTTATACATATATGGCTTTTTGTTGTTAATTAAAGCTGTCTTCAAGTAGAAGGGACATTTCACATCCGGTTTTGAGAGACAGGAGGAACTATCTTTGGCCTAAAAAGAGTCAACCCGACCCGGACTGCCATATTTGAAAAAGTGGACAAAGTACCAGGATTCTTGAGTCCTCTCGCCAACTCCCTGGTAGTGATTTCCTCTCTGAGGAATGGAAATTTGACACCTAAGAGCCTCTGGGTGCATGAAAGAGAATGAAGATGCTGGTGAACTGTTATTTGCATGAAAATAGGTGCCACGCACGGTAAACTGGAGGAAGAAACCTCACTGGCAGTTCCTCAGGCTCACGGGAAGCCACGTGTGGGTCTGGTTCTTCCGCTTCTTCAGCTCCTTCTAACACTTCAGCCTCACCTCCTCGGTTTGGGAGCTGGGCACCAAGCAGTGAACCAGGACTAAGCAAAGTCAAGTACCGGGTTAAATCCAAGATGTGAGGGCACTCCCAGCCCCTCCAATGGTGAGATGGCCCTCTGGGTTGCCGGGCAATGAACTGCTACCTCGGGGGAGCAGGTGGGTGGGACGATGAAGGAAAAGTACCTGGATGAGGGACAAGAAAAACATGGAGTGGGAGGGGCTTTTCAAGCGTCTACGCCCTACAATTTACATCATCTTCCAAATTGTAGCTGCGTTTCCGGGAACTGAGTTGTGTTTGCTTTGGCTTCCGACTACCTGGGCAACAGGTATTCTACGAGGAGCAGGCACTGCTCCACATCCTCATCCCTCCTGCCCTCCCCTTTGCTTCCAGTAGCCATCTTCCCGCTCCAGAGGCGTCCCAGGATAAACTCGGGGTACTGGCCCTTTAAACGTGACCTGCGGAGGCGGACGGAGCTAAAACTGACGTGGAACCAAGAGTGAGCGGCGTCAGACGCGTGGTACAAGGAGTCGTTCATCTTGCAACCGGGCGGGGAGTGTTTCCGCTTTGGGCTGTACATCTTTAATACGATGTTAAGAAAGTGTCTGCTGTTGTCTTTTTTTCCCCTTCTTTTTTTTTTTTTTTAAATTCAAGTGTAGTTGACATACAATATTATATTATTTTCAGGTGTACAACATAGTGATTGGACATTTATTTACATTACAAAATAATCAGCCTGTTAAGACCTGATAGTTACCGTCTGTCATTATACAAAGTTATTACAGTATCGTTGACTATGTCCCCTATGCTGTAGGTTACATCCCCATGACATTTATTTTACGGCTGGAAGTTTGTACCTCGTATCCCCTTCACCTATTTCTGCCTTCCCCCACCCACCTCCCCTCTGGCAACAGCTAATTTGTTCTCAGTATCTACGAGTCTGTTTCTATTTTATTTTGTTTGTTAATTTGTCTTGTTTTGTTAGAGTCCACATATAAGTGAAATCATACGGTATTCTTCCTTCTCTGTCTGGCTTATTTCACATGGCATGATACCCTTGAGATCCGCCCATGTTGTTCCAAATAGGAAGAATTCGTTCTTTTTTATGGCTGAATAATATTCCATTTTAATTAAATTTAGTTATATGTACATATATGTAATGTGTATATACATATATGTAATATATATATATATTACATCTTCTTTATCCATTCATCTACCCATGGACACTTAGGTTGCTTTGGTATGTTGGCTGTTGTAAATAATGCTGCAATGAACATAGCGTTGCATATATCCTTTGGAGTTAGTGTTTTCCTTTTCTTCAGATATATACCCAGAAGTGGTATTGCTGGATCGTATGATAGTTCTATTTTTAATTTTTTAAGGAATGTCCATACCCTTTTCCCTAGTGGTTGCACTAATTTACATTCCTACCAATAGTGCACGAGGGTTCCGTTTTCTCTGCTTTTTTCCTTTGTTTTTCCAATACCCTGTGATGACTCAACTCTGGAATAAAGGATGTAGTCTAAACACCTCTGTCCCCACTCTTGCCCATATTAAAAATGGCCGCCTCCGCCTTCCACAATGATAGTTGCTCTGCGAACAAGATCCGTGCGGAAACAGTGCGTCGGCAAACGCAGTGGGGTAGAGCCCGGGTTGATTTATAAAGGCTCGCGGAGTGTCGCGCGCAGCTCAAGTCAGAGTTGGTGGGTTTTGCTCAGGCTGGTGTGGGAAGATCCAGCCTGTGGGGAGCGGCCACTTCTTACTGCTGGGGGCTCAGGGCTTCTGTTCAACTTGCCGGTTATCTGAGGAGGCGGCGGAGCGGGACCCCTGGCCGGTCGCCATGTGGGCCTTCCTGGAGTTGCCGATGCCGCTGCTGGTGAATTTGATCGGCTCGCTGCTGGGATTTGTGGCCACACTCACCCTCATCCCCGCCTTCCGTGGCCACTTCATCGCCGCGCGCCTCTGTGGCCAGGACCTCAACAAATCCGACAGGCAGCAGATGTGAGCGACGGCACGCGGGTCCCGGGCTGGGGACAGGGGTGGGCAGGACAGGAGCGGGGACTGGGGCGCTTGACTGCGCGCGAAGACGGAGCGCTAACCCAGCAGACAGCCCGGGACTCTTGGAGGTGAAGGGCAGAACTGTTTAGCATTGGGGAAGGGATGGGGGGTGATCCCCGGCTGTATCAGGGACTCCGGCAGTGGTGCTCTCTCCCGCATTAGGTCATTAGGTCACTGTAATGCCTGCACTAGTGAGTGACCACACCCCTTTTCCTCTTCCCCCTCCACGCCCCTTGCTGCTGGGCCACAGCCCAGAATCCCAGGGAGTGATCAGCGGTGCTGTTTTCCTTATCATCCTCTTCTGCTTCATCCCTTTCCCTTTCCTGAACTGCTTTGTGGAGGAGCAGTGTAAAGCTTTCCCCCACCACGAAGTAAGTGGGTTGGGGGGAGGTGGCTGCCCGTGGTTGGGGGCTGGGAGCTACCCGAGAGAGTTCGGGTTATTTGGGTTTGGGGGGCGGGGCTGAGGAAGGAACGAAAAAACAGGAATTTTTGAAAGGTGAAGTGGGAGTAGGCTTAACCCGTGACCTGCCCGAGCCTCCCCCAGTTTGTGGCCCTGATAGGTGCGCTCCTTGCCATCTGCTGCATGATTTTCCTGGGCTTCGCGGACGATGTACTGAATCTGCGCTGGCGCCATAAGCTGCTGCTGCCCACAGCTGCCTCACTACCTCTTCTCATGGTCTATTTCACCAACTTTGGCAACACGACCATTGTGGTACCCAAGCCCTTCCGGCCGATTCTTGGCCTGCATCTGGACTTGGGTGAGTAGCCCCGCCACTACTGCCCCTATGGCCCCTACTTCAGGGCACCCTTACTCTGAGACATCCAGCAAAGCATCCTTCCTGGTGCTCCACGTTCTCCTCCAACTGTTCCTGTTTGTCCCTGTGTCTTCTGAGGTTCTCTCTGTTGGCCCTTCATCCTATCCTCTGTCCTCACCACTTTTCTCCGAAGAATATCCTTAAATCATCATTGATAGGTGGTACTACTACTTTTTTGTGTGTGTGTGAGAAAGATCAGCCCTGAGCTAACGTCCATGCCAATCCTCTTTTTGTTGAGGAAGACTGGCCCTGGGCTAACATCTGTGCCCATCTTCCTCCACTTTATATGGGACACCACCGCAGCATGGCCTGACACGCGATGTGTCAGTGCGCGCCCAGGATCCAAACCTGGCCACCAGCAGCGGAGCGCGTGCACTTAACCGCTACGCCAGGGGGCGACCCCAGCGTGGTACTACTTCTTTTCTTACTGTCTTCTCCCACCAGGGATCCTGTACTATGTCTACATGGGGCTGCTGGCAGTGTTCTGTACCAATGCCATCAATATCCTAGCAGGAATTAATGGCCTAGAGGCTGGCCAGTCTCTGGTCATTTCTGCTTCCATCATTGTCTTCAATCTGGTGGAGCTGGAAGGTAGGTGGGATTGGAGGTAGGGAGAGAAGTCTGAATGTTAAGGAAGTTTTCCTGATATCTTGCTTTGGGGAATTCAGAAAGAAAGCAATATGTGAATAATTAGAGAAGCTAAGGGAAGCTATTTACTTTGCAAATAACAACTAACATTTATTAAATGTGAGAAAGAAAAATAGCAGCCCTGTCATTTATAGCTGGATTGGCACTAATAGGTAGGCCATGATCTTCTCCTATTGAATATAAACAATTTCATAGAATCCCAAAATCAGATAGGATCACTCTGTGACCATGATCGAGTAAGACAAAATCCAGACCCCTCTATAACCGTGTGTGAGCACAGACAAGACCGCAAGAACACTGAATCCCACACAAATGACCAAGATCCCCCTCTTCTGGCTAACATGAGTGACTGCTGCTTCCTTCTGATAACCACTCAGTTCCTCCCACTTCTTAGATAAAAATTAAGATGAATTAATAATTAATGAAAATTATTAAGAATTACTCCTGCTGACAGCACCCAGTCCAGGGCAAAACTGTGCCTCCTTGCATCCTCCCCAGAATTACTTAAATCCTATAACAAGTCCTCCTAACACCCCCTTACTGAGGCATCCCATGGTTCCTCATTGTGTATGGTTTCCAAAGTCTCCCTTGTTACAAGTCAGTAAACCCAGCTTTGACTACAGATGTGTTTCTGGTGGTCTTTGGCCGATAGACATCAGTAAGTGCTTATTAAAGCTAGAAGCACTTTTAAAATATGGTCTCATTTAAACTTTGTAACCAAGCTCTTTGTGGCAGGTGTTATCATGAACTATATTTTACAGCTGAGGAAACTGACGTTTAGAGAAGTTAAGTGTGTCATGATTAAGGTCACATAGTTAGGAAGTAAAGCTGATATTCAAACCTAGGTCTGAACAGTCTAAACCAAATTTAAAGATTTTATTTATTTTATTTTTTGCCCCCAAAGCCCCAGTAGATAGTTGTATGTCATAGCTGCACACCCTTCTAGTTGCTGTATGTGGGACTCGGCCCCAGGATGGACAGAGAAGTGGTGCCTCAATGCGCACCCGGGATCCGAACCCGGGCCGCCAGCATCGCAGCGCGCGCACTTAACCACCAAGCCACGGGGCCGGCCCTCTAAACCAAATTTAAGACAGTAACTAGTTTAGGAAGAGTTCATGAAAGAGGTGGACTATTGGCAATTGCCTGGGTCACATAAAAGGGGTAATAAGTTCTTGAATGTAACTTGGGAGAGGTGGGCAATACCACTTGGGACAGAACTGAGAGACAGACAAAAATAGGACCAAGGTATGCAGGGGAAGTGGCTATCAACTTTCTCTTCTTTCTTTTTCCCCTGCTTCCAAAGGTGATTATCGGGATGATCATGTCTTTTCCCTCTACTTCATGATACCCTTTTTTTTCACCACCTTGGGATTGCTCTATCATAACTGGTAAGTAGGCCTGCAGATAAAGGGACAACGATTTGAACATGTGGCAAGTATGGTCCTGATCATGACCATCTGCTGATGGAGAGGCTAAACCTGTGCATACCTGTGTTGAGTGTTTTCTGGGTCTTCAGTTGGTAATATTCTTAAATTGTTCTCTATCCAGCAGTAGTTGGGGACAAGTGCTGTGGAGCTCCCAGGAATATATGAATTCAGGGCCTTGCGTCCTGGAGAGTTGCTGGGAGAGCTAGAGTCTCCTCTGAGCCAGAACTAGGGTCAGGGCCAGCCTAGTGCCAGGGTGTGTGATGTGAGAGAAAGGATTGGTAATGCCTCTTGCCACTGGCTCAGATCCTCTCCCCCACACAGGTACCCATCACGGGTGTTTGTGGGAGATACCTTCTGTTACTTTGCTGGCATGACCTTTGCCGTGGTGGGCATCTTAGGACACTTCAGCAAGACCATGCTACTCTTCTTCATGCCCCAGGTGTTCAACTTCCTCTACTCACTGCCTCAGCTGCTGCATATCATCCCCTGCCCTCGCCACCGTATACCCAGGTAGCCACTTTGGGGCTTGAAAGGGACATCATAGCTTTTTCACTTGGGATGCATAAATTTGCTGTGCAAAGGGAGTGTGTCCAAAGAAGAGCCAACTCTTTCCATGTGGTTAGCCCTTTGTAAATTACAGAGCACATTTATTTACATAATCTTATTTAATTCACAGCAGCTCTGATCACACAGTAGTAAGCAGCAGAGCCAGAAATAGATGTGAGGTTGTTTGACTCCACATTCAGTGCTCTTCCTAGTAATTAACCATAGTGAGGAGAGTTCTTTGAGTAGTGGCCCAGTCACATAAAGCTCTCTTCCCCCTGCAGACTCAATACCAAGACAGGCAAACTGGAGATGAGCTATTCCAAGTTCAAGACCAAGAGCCTCTCTTTCTTGGGCACCTTTATTCTAAAGGTAACAGGGTAACAAGGAGGTAGGGCTCTAGGCCGCTACCCTGAATTCAGAGAATGGGGAACCCAGGCCTGCATCAGATCCAAGGGGAGTTTGGAAACATTAGGCAGATCCCCATTCCTGAAGTACATGTATTAGCTGAAGTTCTACCTCTGGCCCCTCCAGGTAGCAGAGAGCCTCCGGCTAGTAACAGTACATCAGAGTGAGAATGAGGATGGTGCCTTCACTGAGTGTAACAACATGACCCTCATTAACTTGCTACTTAAAGTCTTTGGGCCCATGCATGAGAGAAATCTCACACTGTTCCTGCTGCTGCTACAGGTACGGTTGAGGATGGGGTTTACACCTCTTTGTCTCCCTTTCTCCATGGTTCTTATTCCAGTCCATTTCTCCTTGCAGATCCTGGGCAGTGCTGTCACCTTCTCCATTCGGTACCAGCTTGTCCGGCTCTTCTATGATGTCTGAGTCCCCTCATCGTTGCCCTTTACTTCACAATCTCCAGGGTTCTTGACTCAGGCTGACCTCTTTCTGGACCGAGACTGCCTCCTGGCCCAGGCCCTCCAGAGTTTTCTCCTCAGCATTTCCTTTCCCCTGTGATTATTGACATCCTGGCCTTTCTTTCCCTCTAATGATCATTGATTGGACTTTGCCTATGGCTTTCTTCAACTTGCCACTCTCCCTCTCCATCCCATCTTTGCAGCCTCCTAAAGTGGGATACTGAAGCTTTTATGCAGTTATCTACAACTCTGACTCTGAAAGAATATGTTGGGCCTGGGGCTAGAACCCTGGCTGGGGATAGGGACACAGGCTCGAAGATGACTTGACATTTGGCTATAAATTAAGTATTCTGATTAGTAAGAGCAGACCTGGGGGCCAGGTGCTCCCAGCGGTGACAATAAAGTGTTGTCTTTTTTTGTTGTTTCTCTAGGTGTATTTCCTATATGGGCATTTTAGGGTATATTGGTTGGTGGAGGCACCTTCTCCAAGAGGATGCCTCTCTCTGCCCCAACCTTTTTCTTTCAGTACACCAGGCCCCTTCTAGGAAGAAGTAAACAGAAAGAACTGAGACCAGGCAGAACATGTTGAATAAATACTGAAATCCTGATTCTTCAGGTGGCATGGAGGGCCATAAGATTGGAGTTATCTGTTCTCTGGTATGGGATCGAATTTTCAGGGAATCTCATTTCTTTCCTTGTTCACTCTCCCTTTGTAGGATAGGTGGAGGGAGGAGTGGAGAGGGAGTGACCAGACCTGAAAGGGGAGGCAGAGAGAATTCTTGTGTTGACCTCTTCCCTTTAAAAATCCAGGCCGGCCTAGACTTCCCAGAGGCTCTTGAGGTGGCTTGACTCCACCCTCTGACTTCCGGTTCTGGTCTCCGGCTGTAGCGTTTAAATCTCGCGCGCTTCACTTGGATAGGCTACTTCTTAGAGTGGTTGGCTGTCTGCGAGCCGCCACTCCTCCTCGCCTTCTTCCGCGGGCAAAAGGTTTTCAAATTCGACCAATCGGCGAGCGCGCTCCATCAGCCGTGGCGCGTCACCGACGGGTTAACCGCAACCAACCGGAGGCGGGTATTAGAGAAAAGAGCCAATCAGGAGGGCGCGGAGGTGTGCCCTGGGGGCTTATAAGGGCGGCCCCTGGGCGCGCGCGGCGGCAGTTGGACTGCGGCGGAGCTATACACCGTTCCTCTACCTCGCGCGTCATGTCGGGCCGCGGCAAGACCGGCGGCAAGGCCCGTGCCAAGGCCAAGTCGCGCTCATCGCGCGCCGGCCTCCAGTTCCCCGTGGGCCGCGTGCACCGGCTGTTGCGGAAGGGCCACTACGCCGAGCGGGTCGGCGCCGGCGCTCCGGTGTATCTGGCGGCGGTGCTCGAGTACCTCACCGCTGAGATTCTGGAGTTAGCCGGCAACGCGGCCCGCGACAACAAGAAGACGCGGATCATCCCCCGCCACCTGCAGCTAGCCATCCGCAACGACGAAGAGCTCAACAAGCTTCTCGGCGGCGTGACTATCGCCCAGGGAGGTGTTCTGCCCAATATCCAGGCCGTGCTGTTGCCCAAGAAGACCAGCGCCACCGTGGGGCCGAAGGCGCCCGCGGGCGGCAAGAAGGCCACCCAGGCCTCCCAGGAGTACTGAGGAGCGCCCGCACCGGCCCCGGCCGCCCGGCCCTCCCCATGCCGCCACAAAGGCCCTTTTAAGGGCCACCACAGCCCTCACGGAAAGAGCTGGGCCACGTCGAGTTCCGGGACGGGTGGCCGCGGCGCTCGGCCTCTCCCTCATCCCCGCCGCCGCCCGCCCCTCCCCCGCGCGGCTCGCGGGCCCCGGCTTCCCGTCCTCCAGAGAGGGGCGGCCGTTAGGACGCCGCTCGGGCCCGGCATGGCTCGTCTGACGCGGAGGACCGAGGGACGCGGCCGGGAGGGGACTCGGGGCGCAGCACCTGCCGCCTCGGCGCTCGTGACTCAGCCGGCCTGTCTTGAGAATCGCTGATGGGCTGCGATGAGCCGCGGCACCTTCTGGAAGACTTAGCTGGCAGCTCTGACGTAGGGCTGAGGTGTGTGGCCGGGGTCGGCGGCCCAAAGGGTGAGTCGGTGCAGACGGCCGCCAGCAGACCCCTGCAGCCCGGTCGTCTGACTTCTCCAGCGTGGTGCTTAGGCCAGGACTTTTCAGACAGGACTGGATTTCTGGGCTTCGGTGGGGAGAAATTTCATCACTGAATTTTTTCTGGTGCCCCCTTTGCTGCCAAACCCTGGGATTTTTACATCAGCGCTTCCTCCATCCTCATCTGTAGGCCTGTGCGGTGCGGCCAGGACAGAACACTGTTAACAGGAACATCGTTCCTCCGGAGAGGACTGCCTCCCAGGGAGAAGCCGGGGAGGGGCGAGGCCTCCAGTCTGGGTTCCCAGCCGGCTGTGTGGACAGCGGGAGTTGTGTGCGCGCCTGAAGCTGACTGGCAGCAAGGCCGTAGGGCCTACCCGCTCTGCCCCATTTCCCTTCCAGCAGCTCCACTCGGCAAGCCAACCACCTAGATACCAGCACAAGTCTTAATCCTGTCTGGACTGAGTCTCCATTGGCTTTTGAACTGGAATTTTGCAGCTAACCCATCCAAGACTAGTACCTTAGACATTGGGGAGTTTCAGAGGGACTAATTTTGTTTATTAAAGGATTGTTTTTTAAAAATGAGTGTCTTCATTTTGTAAGAGTTGTAGGATTGATGACTTTGTAGTCTCATTTTCCTGAGGTTGTGGGGGTGAGGGGACTATTGCATATGAAGCCCTATGGTTAACTGGAGAGGGACAAGCCATAGTTCTAAGATTATGGCTTTCTTGCTGTTCCCTGGGAAGCAAACAGTTATTCTGTTTAAAAGGAGAACTACTGAGGCAGAAACGGTGTTAAAGAGGTCCCAGTCTCTGAAGTAAGGAGTAAAGGGTTTTATGTTTGTCCTTTCCTGCGACCCCACCAAAAACAAAAAAACCACCTTCAGAGCTGGTTTATTAGTAAAGTTGGTAACATTCAAAGGCTGTGGTTTGGACTTTCTGTAAAGAGATGAAGCCTCCACCTACCGAGAAGGCAAGGCAGTCACCAAGGCCCCAAGGTGAGGCAAGTCCGTGGAAGTCTCTGACCCTGCTGTTCAACCCCATAACTGGGGTGATCACTCCCCAGTCAGCAGTGAGAAGGGGGCACTCAGGGCTGGGATGTAGGCACTGGACAGATGGCAGCAACCTAGGCACCTGTGCCCCACAGGCCAGTTAGTGGGCATCGTTAAGCTGTCGTGCAACGTCCAAGATGTTCTTGGCTCCTTTGTTCAGCAACAAGTTGGCCAGGCTGATGCCCAAGTTTTCAGCAGTCAGTTGGGCTTCTCGTGGAATGTTCCGGGCAGTGATGCCCACCAGCTGTGGATCATCCTCAGGGCCATCTTCATGCTGGATGAGGGAAGGAGGTAGGATTTGGTGAGCAAAAAAGGGGAGGTAACACACAGACTTGTTTCTTACCCTCTCCCTCACCCTCCAGCCTTGGCACCTGGGCAGGGACATGGATGGTGGCCTGCATGGTCTCCTGCATACTATCTGAGCCATCCAGACTCCACACTCCTCCAGTCAGGTACAGCTGGGAAAGAAAACGGTTCCCTCAGCATATTCTGAGAGGAAACTGCTTAGAGGCCTAGGCTTTTCTTGCAGGCAACTTGGGATGCACAGGGAGAAATGCCACAGACCTTCCTTCCCTGCCATCCACCCATTTTCCCCTGCTTACTTGCCCATCCTTCATAGCTGTATGCACAGCTACTGGCACACTGCAGCCTCCTTCCTGCAACGAGAAGTTCTCCCTGTGATCTCCAAGGACCCTTAACACCACGCTATGACCAGAGCCCTCAGAGACACACAGACCTCTGAGAACATACGTGAACAGAAGGCTAGGGGCCCAGATTTGGGCCGTCTTTATACATAACATTCAAGAATGAGTTAGGGGCTGGACCACTGGCATAGCAGTTCAGTGCATGCACTCTGCTTTGGCGGCCCTGGGTTCATAGGTTCGGATCCCAGGCGTGCACCAAAGCACCACTTGTCAAGCCATACTGTGGCGGCATCCCATATAAAGTAGAGGAAGATGAGCACAGATGTTAGCCCAGGGCCAATCTTCCTCAGCAAAAAGAGGATTGCCATCGGATGTTATCTCATGGCTAATCTTCCTCACCAAAAAAAAAAAAAAAAAAGAATGAGTTACCACTCAACACAGAGCATTAATTTAAGAAATCTCCTGACTACCCTTCCCAACTTCCCAAGTCCCCACCCCTCCACAGGTGGAGCACAGGCCCTACCAGGTGCCTTAGGAAGGCCCGTTCAGCAATGCAGCGAAGCAGAGTCTCAGGATCATGCAACACACCCACCAGATCCAAGATGTCGTGGTCCTTGGCTCGGACTTCCACGCCCAGGGCCCCCTGATGGAAAAACAGCCTAGGACATCAGGCCCAATCTGTCCCCAACCAATGGCGCCAAGGATAGGAACCAGCCAATTTCCACCTGCTCCCCAAAGCCTTTTGGTACAGTAGCCTCCCAAGACCTGCCCCTCCCTGGGAGTGTTTATGCTGGGGGAAGCAGAGGCGGAAGGCTGTGCGACCAGCTTCCTGGCTGAGAACAAAGGGAAGGGGCACATCGATACGCAGCTCCCTGGCCAAACATACCTGACCCACAGCATACATGCATTCCTCAGGGTGCAGGATCTGCGGGGGCAGAAGAGGCAGTCAGAAGGGAGGAGATGGGGGTACATAAAATCACACAGCTGTGAGATGGAGCTTCCCTATCATATACAAAGCCTGCACAGGCAAAAGTGGGAGTCTGGCCTCTGATCCCCAGTCTTCCCAGCCTGGGACTTGTTCCTAGCTTGTATTGTTAAAGGCGAGGTGTTCAAGAAGAGAATACAGGCAAGAAGAGGATGAAGATTAACTGGAGAAGGAACAGGGGCAGCCCCCACCTGTCCCAGCCGGTTCTGCCAGCCCATGCGCTGCAGGCCAGCTGCGGCCAGGATGATGGCACTGAACTCCTGCAGCTCATCCAGCTTCCGAAGCCGTGTGTTGAGGTTTCCCCGCTATGGAGAGATGCTAAGGACCATGAGCATTGTTTCCTCTGCCTGAAACATTCCCTTTCTATCTGGCTAACTTTTCATTTTTCAGTTCTCAGCTTAATGGTAACAGCTAACACTTACCTCATACTTACTACATGCCAGACACTGTTCTAAAGTGCTTTACATGTGTCAACTCATTTAATTTTCACAACAACCCTATGAGGTAAATATTATTATCTCCATTATTATTATTATTATTTTCTCCACTATTATTACCACCATTTCAGGCTAAGAAAATGACAGAGAGGTCAAATAACCTGTGCAAGGTTACAAGACCTTTAAGAAGCTTCCTGACCCCCAAGTCTGTGTTTAGATGTTCCAGTTAGAAGCTTCCAGAGAAGTCCCTACTTTGCGCATTGGAGCACTTAGCACATGCTATTTTAATTTTACAAAACATACTATATACTCATTGTAAAAATCAAAACAATATAGAATATAAAATAAAAATGGAAGTACCTCCATCCCCCAACTGGAAGTAATCACTGTTCAGTATCACTCCGTATTATCAGTGCCTGTTTGTCTGTCTCCCAAACCAAAATATAAACTCTACATAAGCAAGGACAATGTTGACTTTGCTCACCATTAACCCCGGTGCCAGGCACCTGCCTAGGGCTGAGAAAACATGAAAGGATTATGAATAGATGGGTGGATGGGTGGATGAATGCGGGGACAGACAGCCCACTGCCCCCATGGTCCACTTCCTCTGGAAGCCCCTTCTACTCTCAGGACTCCCAGGGCCCTCTGGACCTCGTCTTCCTCCGTGGCTGCTGCCCCCTTCCTCCTCTAAAAGGATACAATACTCTTGAACTCCAGATGTGGGAACTTCCTCTGCAGCTGGGCCGCTCTCCTCAGGGAGCTGGTTCCCACCACGCTGCTCAGAGAAGGTTGAAATGAGATTTAACTCTAGGCAGGTACTGTTCCTTTCCTCCTCCTCCCAACCCTCCCTCTTCTGCGCACATCCCACCAAGATGCCTATCCAGGCCCCACTCACCTCTTCTCTGGCAAGGTTTCTAGGGTCTTCCCAACAAATTTTGGGTGAAAGACAACAGCATCACAGGGGTTCTCTCGCCTGGGGATGGAGGGAAGATCATAGAATAAGGTCACTTCCAGGGTCTCTCAATAGCCAACCAACTGGCATTCTCTGAGTTTTCTGCCATGCTTGACACTCCTCAGGGCAGGGGAGACAGCCCTAGAGGTGGAAGGCCAAATCCCGAAGGGAAAAGCCAAAGTTAACATGATGCCTGCCCAGGCCCCCTGACTGGCAGGACTCTTACTTGCAGATGGCTCCAATGGTGAAGCCTGGAGGAAGCACAGTGGGCAGGTCCTTCAGTGAGTGAACAACCAGGTCCACTCTAGAGAGACGGGAGAGGGAGGTAAGAAGGGGTCCAAGCAGCAGGCCCCTCCTTCTCCACCTACTCCTGCCTCTATTTCAGTTGCGGAGCCTAAAGCAGTTCAGGAAGCAGGCCTTTCTGAGACCTCAGGACCCTGAGACCTGCTCCCCTCCTCCCTTCCCTCCTACCCTCCTCCCCCCACCCAATCCTGCACTCCATGCAGCTAGATATTCAGAACCAGTATACTCTCCTTTTCTGAAGCCTG